TCTTCTTAGTAACTAGCCGCGAAAACTTATTTTAAGTAATAGATATATTACATTTAGACCCCTATCTCTAATATTTACTATACTTCCCTAAGCTAATATGGACCTTGTATACACGAGAGTGCACTTAATAAAAGGAATATTTAGATACTATAATAGTACCGTAATTCTTAATAGTAAAAATAAGGTTGCGACGACACTTAGTAGGATAATAGTTAGTAGGTATAATTCTCTAGGATGAAGAATGGAAAGGAGGGGGATGATATTATAAACTAAAAGATAGAAGGGTGAGGTGGGGCGCTTATAAAGGTATAAGGATATAGTAGTAGGGTTGCGACGAGATAAAGAGTAGCTAAGCTACTTAGATAGTAGTTACATAACTTGCTTAGCTACTTAGGAGCCCTAAGTAGCCAAGTAGCCAAGACGAGTTACGTAACCTACTTAGCTACTTAGGAGCCCTAAGCAGCCGAGTAGACTAGTATATAGGAACTTAAGTATAAACCCTTATACTTATATTTAACCTATTTAGCAATCTATCATTTAGATTACACTTAGGCTATATTATTAACTTATTATATCCTCCTCTAATATTATCGTCTTAATAAACCCCTTCCTTCCCTCAGTTGTCTTGCCCGAGAACCAACCCTAACCCTTTAGGACTAGCTACCCTTCTAGATTTAATAGAGATATAACGCCCTTCTATAAAGATAAAATAATTAATGACTCCATATAAGACTAAGATAATAAGACGCCAGGTTATTACTAAGGGAGGAAGATTAACTACACCTACCCATTACTACTATTAACGCCGCCACTAGTAACCCTACTAGTATAACTCTTCTCTAATAAAAATGTATTACTAGTTATACATAATTAGTAATTAACTATTACTCTAGTAACTACGAAAACTACGCCATGGGTAGCCGCCTATTAGGATCCGAGATGAATAGTCATCCGGATCGCACATGTAATTAGGCAAAGTGACCGGGGCATAGGTGTGACCATAATTACGTGATTTAATTAGAGTGATTAGTGCGCCAAGCCCACTAATCACACTAAGTAACTTACATAGGTGATTACTAAGTACGACCTAATCACTATAATTAGTTTGACTAAGTAACTAATTAGGCTTGGTATATAGGAATGTAAGTATAAACCCTTATACTCATATTTAACCTATTTATTAATCTATTATTTGGATTACACTTAGGCTATATTATTAACTCATTATATCCTCCTCTAATACTATTATCTTAATAAAACCCCTTCCCTTCCCTTAGTTGTCTTGCCTAAGAACCAACCCTAACCCTTTAGGACTAGCTACCCTTCTGGATTTAACATCTTAAACACCCTTAATATGGTAATAAGGACTCCTACTTCTTCCACGTTATTGGATGGTGCCGTAATTACTCCTATGAGTAACTCTAAGAGTAAGGCATATAGACCTAACTTATATTATAGTAACTATAAATACACCAACGTATGGCTACTTTAGTTAGACCTCTACTTCTTTAATAATAATAAAGATCTTAATAATAAGAAGAAGGTTATCTTCGTAGCCGCCTATATGCGAGGTAATACTAGAGATTAGATCTAACCCTACGTTACTAAGTACCTAGGAATGGACTATAATAACTATAAGGAGGAATATCTTAACCTCTACACTAACGTAATTAACATCATTAAAGACTACCTAAACTTTAAGAAGAGTCTCTAATAGATATTTAGAATTACTAATAAGGTACCTATAACCAAACAAGCCATCCAAACCATCACGTAGAAGTAATCCATAGTAGAATATATGGCTAAATTTAGGAAATACGCTGTATAGATTAAATGGGAGGACGAATCCCTAATAACTATATATAGATAAGGACTTAAGAGATTTATATATAAAGAACTCTTATGTAGTGGAGCATAAGTTAACACTCTTAAAGAATTATACACTAAAGCTATTAGGATTAATAGAGAATGGTTCGCACTATAATAAGAATTCTAAAAGAACCTAAGGAATATTAGTTTTAGAAAGGCAGCACCTGTCATCTATAGGGCGTTACTAAAGGCACCTAAGGGACACCGGCAGTCACGAGGCAACTATGGATACGAACCAATAGAAGATGTCTAGTTTAATTACATAGGCAAAGGAAAAGGAAAGGTAGGCTTTTATAAGCCTAACCCATGCGTCTTAGATAGAAGTCGACCCAAGATAACTAAGACCCGTAAATATTTTATATATGGTAAACCAGGCCATATCACTAGGAACTACTATTCTAAGAATAAGGTTATAAGGACCGTGTAGTTGAATGTACTATCCACCAGTAATATAGAGGCAACTAATAAAGAAT